GCAATACAGCACTGAAGACCCAGGCAGTAGTTTTCCCCCCAACAGTCTTGCCTGCATGTAGAAGTCAATATTTTTGCTGTTGCTTTTAACAAATCCACTAGGTTGATATAGAGCATAGCTGAGATTTAGTGGTGACAGGTGGATCACGGCACTGGGCTGGGTAAATTAAATAGGATGTGGTAGATTCAGATTCAAATTCCTTCTCCTCTCCCTGTTTTACAGCAGGCATTTGAACCAAAGCCCTTCGAAGAAGGTGCCTTTATGATTAAGCTAAAAGTTGTTATGGTGATCTTTTACAGCATCTCTAGTTATTATTTTTCTTTCTTTAAAATAATTTAATATATACAGGAACCAGAATTCAAGTCTTCCAGAAGTATGCTAGACACGAGCAAAAGGGTGATTCTGACTTCAGCTCTGGTGAATAAAGTATTTGAACAGAGTAATAATTTCAGCGGAGCAGTTGAGCTTGTTTAGGACTGAGCTATAGCTATAGCCCAACGTTTAACAGACCTTTGCGGAAGTAAGGACATTATGTCTTAAGACCTTTTTCCAGATAAGATTGTATCAAACGCAACTCAGGTGCTTGGACAGTAGGAACACTGGATAACAGGAGTCTGCAGGAAGGGCCACCAAGGTGATTCACAGGTAATAAATATTGAATTGTAGAGCCATCTTTGTCCAGGTTGGATTTAGCTACTTTATTACTTTTGAAAGACTAGATTAATCATACCCCATAGTTTGGCATTTTCTATTAATAATCTGGTACAGATCTTCATGCAGTTTGTTATCCCTACACATTCCAGTCTTAATTACCTATTTCTCTCCACCTAATAGTTTGCATGCCTTTCTCAAGGCCTGGAATCCCACAGAGTTGTGGGATTAATTCCCACAACCTAATTCTCTTTTTTCACGCTAGTACCATTTCTGCAGGATGTGTTTGCATAAAAAGGATCTCTCTACTTGACACTTTATCAGAGCAAACTAATATTTTAACTAAATACAGAGGTCAGTCTGTTATTGCTCAACAGCTTATGCAAAATAATTAAACTGAACTGGTGCAAGTGAGTTAGACAGACCCTCAAAGAACAGTAACAGAATTGAATTGAATAGACGACAGCTGAATTATTCTAGGCTTAGTATTTCTAAGAATTGAATTTTTAAGAGATGTTAATGATTTCTGAACTACCTAGCTGAGAAGAGGACTTTTTTTTTAATCCTGTAGCTTTTTCTAAATTCATTTGCATAACAGAACTCCATGAATTTAAAGACATAATTATATGTTTTTAGGATTGGGGCCTTTTTATTTTTACACCTTAAAATCATGCTTATTAGTATGCTTGCTAGAGATAGTTAGTTGAGGGAGTAGCATAACTTTGATCTGTATTTCTAGTCATCTGTTATTTCCTCAGAAATTACTTTTTTGCAAGAAAGGCTGTAAACAATTAAATTTCTCTGTTTTTAGGTACTAGATGGTGTATATGAATTATGAAGACCATATTGTTAACTTTTTTTTTCATTATTACTTTCAGGCAATTCAAGCACACAGATCAATTTCCTGTTGGAATTATGTTTAAAACAAATTTTCCATATTGCTTTTTATTCTTAAAATGCATGAGAAGACTGTTCCTTTTTTCAAGTGTATAGAAACTAATTCTATTATAGTAGAAAAAAGGTAAAGGATTTTTCAAGAGACATTGAAGCCTGATCCTTCATTCTATGATGATTTTTTCCTGTAGTGAAAGAAGCTTGTGATGTGAGTTCAAGGTATTTTGTTGTGCAGATCCCTAGTCCTGCAAATGGTCATGCACTGACTGACTTCTAGCTTGAACAAATATCAGAATAAGTTTATAATTTCAGCCTCTAAGTGATTACTTAAAAAAAAGGAGAAAGCGGAAGAACATGTTAGCTGATATGAGATTAATTGGTCTAGCTCTAAAGGAGAGCCTCTCAGCGGTTAGTAGCTAGAAAGTCTATAACTGGAAATACTTTAACTTAAAATCTAGTAGCAAAAGCTTCATCAACTGCGTGTAAAAAGACTTAAGAAGCTTTTTTGAGTCAAGGTTTCAGTCTTCTCTCTGTAGCAGATTCACTGAAGTTATTAGAATTGTAGTTGTATAAAGCTATTTTCTCATGGCCAGAATCATAGTACCAAAGTTAAATGGGTACCTCTGCTATAATTACTATTAGCCAGAAAAAAAGACACCCTTGGAGTGCCGTGTGGGTAGATGGTCTCCATAGGAACATCAGCTAGTTCCTCTTTATATTAGAGCGGATTAAGAAAATTATTAATCAACCACAATATTTTTCTCAGTCTTTGAACTAAGTTTACTATCCTCCTGGCTATTTAAAGAAAGAAAGAAGTAACAAATATATTCTTTAGAATTTTTAAAATTGACATCAAGTCCCTTTCCCATATTGTTCTTTGTTTCCAGAACACCACAGAATTCCTGCTTTAGAAGAAGCAAGTTGGTTGCTGGGAAACATCAACCAGACTGGCTACTTTAGAGTTAATTATGATATTAGGAATTGGAAGCTATTAATTAATCAGCTAACAAGGAACCATGAGGTAAGCTCCTCTTCTCATCACTAAAATCTGCTTTGATAAGTGAACCTTCATTGTTTTATCATCGTAAATGGTTCCATTTTTCTGGTTGCCCCTCACAGGTTATTTCTGTCAGTAATCGAGCAGGCTTGATCGATGATGCATTCAATCTAGCCAGGTATGTTTTCCTGAAGATAATCTATCCTCATGAACTTTCCCCCAACAGTTCATGCAGTCATTAACTCAGTGGTTGAGTGTGTTTTGAAGTTAAATATATTTTAAGCACAGTTTAGTTCTTTTCTCTTTCTTTTTTCTTTTTGATATGGTGCATAAACATGGTCTGTAGCACATTCACTGCTCTTGATCAATAACTGCTTTAGAGTATTTCCGAATCTGGAGAGGTCTGATCAATTTTGAGGCAAGTTCAATTTAACATTTCGGAGATAAATGATCTCTTTCCTTCTCTAATGAAGAAGTTTTTTTTTTCTTTTCTTTCTCCCTAACCTCCTCCCCATCCTCCCCCCCTTTTTTTCTCAGTGTCTCTTATGTAGTATTTGGAAGGCACCTTCAAGCTTCAGGATTTCTTTTTTTTGCCCAAACTTGTACTGTCACATCATTTTTCCATTATCTTCTTTCTCTTGTAATCCGCTAGGATAGACTCTTTGTGTGATGCTTTTCACGTAGAATGGAAAAATCAGAGTTCTGTTCAGCAGTTCTGGAACTGATACAGCATTTTATGTTTTACTATGATCATAGTTATATAATTAATATATATAGCACTGTTTAGGTAATCTCTTCTTTATGAATTGAGGCAATGAAACTTTTCCTATTTTGAAATCAGGACATCTAATACCTTGGTAGTCAAAGTGTAAAATGAGAAGAAAACAGTGGAACTTTTCAGACTTTGGGAATCCTTAAGAACGTTGTGTCAGTAAAACACTGTGATGTCAAAAGCTGTGTGAAAAGAGTTCCTGATATTACTGGCTGTTGTTTGCTAGCGTATTTATAGCCATATTTGAGCAGTAGCTTGCAAGAATTGGCAGTGCGGAGGTACATTTTGCTAGAAACGATCAGCAGAGATGTTTGAGATTCAGGCACAAAGTCACACAGAAATTATGGCCAAGTGATGTTCCAGCATCACTGCAGTAAAAAATAGTTGTGTGCCCTACAACTTTGTTCCTGCTGCCAATACTAGTCTGAATATATGACATAAACTAGTGATTAGCCCTTACTTAACAGTCCAGCGGGATAGTGGGGAAGAAGATATGATATGGAGAGGAGGAAGAGGAGAAGTCTCCTTTTGCTTTTTGCACTGCTCTTCATTCTTGCCTTATGGCCTCTTCCTATTGACAGCAGTTCAGGATTGAATGTAGGTCATCACTTTAGACTTCAGTGGACCGTGATTTGTGCACTCCCTGGCCGGCAGAATATTGCATAGTATTCTGAAATATCTAGGCTATTAGATGAACTAATGAATGTTCAGTAACATAACAGCTTGTTCCATTTTATTTGTTGTGTGTGGCACCTCAAAGCTTCTTTATTAAATAAATTAAATAAAACTGAAGTAGTCTGCAGTTAGGCAGAATCAGTCTGTGGCTTTCTTCTTCTTTCATGAATTGAACACAATCAAATGTGCCTTGACTTCACTGAAAATCTAGGCACTGAAAAAAGCTGTTTCTTAAGCTGGTTCTTGTAAGTGGGTGTTTTTCTTCTGAGTCAGTACTGAGACACTGCTCTAAGATGTCTTGTTCATGAGATATAAAGGCAAGGACCAGACCGCTCCTAGTTAAAGGCCCAACCTGCATAGTATGGCTGAGTTTTAATTATTGCATTTTTTCTACCTAAAGACTACCCAGATATTACATGAGTAATGCGTTCTCCACTTGCTTTTTAAAGCTATTTTATAGTAATACTGGGTCCTGCTGCTTTTTCTGAGGTAACTATACCAGAGCAGTATGAATTCTTTCACAAGATTTCGTGTTGTAAAAACATGAATTCCTTTTGTTAATGCTGAGCTGCAGTGAACTGCTGCTGCATTTAATATGTGTGTGCCATGGAGAAAAGTAGTGAGCTAAATATTTGCAGTGTATACGCATGCGAATGTGTAGACATTGGTTATTCAGAAATACTCTTCTAACAAAGATCCATAGAGATCATCTCTCCTCTGAAGAAAGGCTGCGAGAGCTGGGCCTGTTCAGCCTGGAGAAGAGAAGACTGAGAGGCGATCTGATCAATGTGTACGAGTATCTGAAGGGAAGGTGTCAAGAGGATGAGACCAGTCTCTTCTCCGTGGTGCCCAGTGACAGGGCAAGAGGCAACGGGCACACACTGAAACACAGGCAGTTCCGCCTGAACCTGAGGAGAAACTTCTTTCCTGTGAGGGTGCCTGAGCACTGGCACAGGTTGCCCAGAGAGGTAGTGGAGTCTCCTTCGCTGGAGATCTTCAAAACCCGTCTGGACGCGATCCTGGGAAACATGCTCTAGAGGTCCCTGCTTGAGCAGGGAGGTTGGACTAGATGATCTCCAGAGGTCCCTTCCAACCTTAACCATTCTGTGGAAAAAAAAATCATAGGTCTTGCAATTCTGTGAAATCATAGATTCCTCTTTCTTTTAAATCTCTGCACAGCCTCCTATCAGTAGTATTAGCTTGAATATGTGCCTTATAAGCCAATATTGGTGTGACAAAATGGGTTGGAGGAGAGGTCTGCATATTTGGAAACAATAGATTTATGCTCGATGTTCAAAGAGGAATTATAAGACAGGTGGACCCGACTAAACTTGGCATGTTTCTTCAGTAGCCTGTATAGTTTGTTGATTTTTTTTACCTCAGTTATCTATGATCCTTCCTTTAAAAGTATCATTATGCTGATTTTTTTTTTTTAAATTCTAACTGGCCAGCTAACCATATGGCTCCTTTGTAAGAAGACTGTGATTCTTTGGTATTTTTTGTTTTTATTTCATCTCCGTCAGATACAGAAGGACAAGGAGCACACCTAATCCTTGCTCTATCCCCTTTATGCTGAGTAGGACTAGAGTGGCACTGCGAGACTGTTAAAAGAGGAGTTTTTGGGGGTCAGTCCTTGATGGCAGAGCACCTAAAATTCTGGGAGCATTAAAGCAAGTGTAAAAAGCCTGATTGGAAAGCGGAATAGAGTGATTAGCTGGTGCAAGTGGAAGTGTACACTAACGCAGCTGAAGAGCGCAGCTGTACCTACTATGCTGGGTGCTCCTATGTGACACAGCAGTGTTCCTAAAACAAGCTCTGATGGCTATCAAAATCACACAGATGCTTTCAATTTCCTCAAAAAGTCCACGTTCGGAAAGCCACCACCAATCTAAAAACAGCTTAGCTTTCCTGTCTTGGCTGTAAGCCACAGTGCAGCATGTTGCTTCCCTTTCTGTTTGAGCAGTGCCAAAATTTGCATGTTACCTGACTTGTGGATGCTATATTGATTTAATCTCATGCCCGATGCAGTGTGTGTTTCTGCTTGCCCATATAATGTTATTTAATGTGGAGATTAAACATACACAGTTGTCTCTGACTGTGAAGTAAGAAAAGGTGAGCAACCTTGTTGACCAGGCATAGGGGTAGTTTAGACCTGACTTCTCAGAGGACTGGCTGTTTTTAAGGATAATTCTGTCCTCAGTTATGGTCCCAAGGTGCACTGATGCCGTGTTATCTTGTCATCTGCAACTATACACATTCACATTTTGAGAGATAGCAGAAAACTGGAATAAATCCTTTTTTTTTAATTGCTATCTATTATATCAATGATAAAATAGTACGTAAAAGCAAACATAACTTCTTAAATTCATGTCTGTCTTTTCTAAAAGATTTTCCAACATAAACAGTTCTTTATTTACTGTACTAAAGAGACCGTATTTCTTCAATGTCCGTTTCACAGCAGCGAGATTTGACTCAATTTTTCCAGCATCCTAATAAGAAATTTCTATATATTATTAGTACTACTTGATTTTATTTGTAGAACAAGTATAGGTCTTATCATTAGTATAATTCAATAACTAGATCTGGAGAAAGCTGGAAAAAATTATTCCTCTAATTTATTTTGGAGTGCTGGCAAGGGGCACTCCAAAACGGCACAAGGGGAATGTATGTATGTCATTCCTCCAAAATGTTCATTATCCTTTTACTGTCCAGCATAATGATTTCTCAAAAATGAACAACATCAATTGATAACTCCAAGGAGTATTTTAAGCTCTTTAACTTCCTAATATTTTGTCCATTTTATATATCGATATATTCCTTCTTTCTTCTTCATGCGTTTTGGTCCCATGAAATTAATTAAGCAGAGTTGAATTGACTAATAACAACAAAAGAAAGCTACAGCTTGCACACTTTGTGTCTGACTTCTCACAGACTTGTTTGTTTTTCAGCTATTTAAGCATAATTCTGTTCTCAGCTGTAATACTTGCATATGTCCTGAGGATGTAGAGCAATGTGGCCCTGGCAGTAACAGAGCTTACTGAAAAACATACCCAAAATTTTGCACAAGAATAGAACCTAGACGCTCTTTCTTTCCTTCTTCCTGAATATGCTTTATTTTGGGGGGATGTTCACTATGAAGTTTCAAAATAAATTGAAACCATGTGGGTTGTAGTAAAATTGATATATTGAAGGTAGACTGAGAAAAATGAGAAAAGACAAATAGAATTGTATGCCTTCTGTAAGCTTAAATTGAGCAGAAGGTAATTCAGATAGCTCTAATAAGTACTGTGACAGGAAATAAGCAGCGTCCTACTGTTTCTTGAGAGCGTGAATAGTGTTGTCAGCTTCCCCTGTCTTTCTGACTCTTTCCTCAGGATAGAGGGTCAGATACGTAATATGTGAGGTGGGATGCCCCTCATCTTATTTTAGATATGTCAAAGGTTGACCTGTATATCTGAGCTAGTCATCTTGTGGTCCATTCACAGTTAATGGAGAAAAATGTGCACCTGACCCCTCAAGGCTGCTTAATACAGGATAAATTACCCTCCTGATGCCAGGAGCCTTGTGTCACCCCTAGTTCTTCTTGTTGGTCTCTAATCTTCATAGTAACTTCTCTCATTAAACTGGTTGATTTAATCTAATATTAAATCAAAGAAATATTTCTAGTTCACATTCAGTGTTAATAGTATAGTGTTCAATCAGATGTGGCTGTCGATACCTATTTTATGCTC